AAAAAAAAAAAAAAAAAAAAAAAAAAAAAAACTAATAAATTCAGCAAAGTTGCAGAATACAAGATCAATACACAAAAATCAGTTTAGTTTCTATACACTAGCCATGAACAATCTTTAAAAGGAAATTACAAAAAACAATCTCATTCACAAGAGCGTCAAAAGGAATAAAAAACTTAGGCAAAAAGATAAACAAGGAGGTGAAGGACTAGTGCCCAGAAAACCCATAAAGCATTGCTAAAAAAAAAATTGAAAGACGACACAAATAGATGGAAAAACATCCCATTTTCACAGATTAAAAGAAAATAAGGGAGAGTTCAAACCCTTCACATTAATTGAGAGAACTGATAGAAGCGGCAGAGTTTTGATCATCTTGTTTTTCAAGTCCAGAGCTTAATTTTATGTCCCTCACCATTTTGGAAGTTAGGCTTTGTTCTTTAATTTCTGGGTAGGGTTACTTTGGTGGTGTACCTGCCTGTTGATTGTTATGAAGAATGGGTCTGAGTATTTCCTGTAGAGCTGGTCGAGTCATGGCACATTTCCTAAGCCATGTGGATGTCAGTGAAGTATCTGATTTCTCCATCATAAATGAAACTCATTGTAGCAGCGTATAGGATCCTGAGCTGGAAAATGTTTTGTTTAAGAAGGCTGAAGTTTGATGACCATCGTTTTCTGTCTTGGAAAGTTTTGGCTGAAAGATCTGTAGTCATCCTTATATTTCTCCCATAGTAAGTAATACTTTCCTTATGCCTGGCTGCTTGCAGAAGTTTCTCCTTCATATGCAGGATAGCAAAATTAATTACAATGTGTCTAGGAGATGCTTCCTTAGGATTGAGTTGTGCTAGGGTTCTGAAACTATCTACTATCTGAATTTCTGTGTCACTTGTAATACTTGGGAAATTCTCCACCATAATGTCTTGGAGCAGAGAATTTGTGCCTTTGGGATCATCTCCTTCAGAAGTCCCTGTAATTTGGATGTTTTATTTCTTGGAATGATCCCATAACTCTCTCAGGGAATATTCTATTCTTTTCCTCCATTTTTTGGCCTCTTTGAATGCTTGAGACATTTCAAAAATCTTGTCTTCTTTATCTGGGATACTTTCTTCAACTGATCAACTCTATTGCTCAGTGACTCTACTGTATTTTAAAGCTCCTCAAATACCTTGTTCAATTCCTTAAGCTCCGCTAAATCTTTCCTCATTATGTCCATATCCTTGATGACTGCGTCTTTGAATTCATTAATTTCATGAGACAACTTCTGAACTATTTTTCGGTTCTCTGTTTTCATCGTTTCCTCCATTTCAATTATCTTATTTGCCATCCATATTCTAAATTCTACTTCTGACACTTCAGTAATTTCTCTGTGGATGGAATTTTCTGATGTATTTTCTTTGACATCTCCAGGAGGTGCTGATTTGCTCTGATTTTTCACATTGCCAGAGTTCTTCTGCTGATTCCTCCTCATAAGTATTTTCAGCTTGCTCTTTTTCTTTTTATTTGCTAATTATACTTTTTTAGTTGAATTAATAGTTTGTCCCTGATAAGTCCACTCTTCACTGTTGCAGTGCCACTGCCACACTAACGAAGGCAGACAAGTGGTGAATCCGCATCCCCAGACAGTGTCTTCGGGAGGACAAGAATCAGTAGACAGTCCAGGCCCAGAGTCCCAGTTAAAGTCACTCTGCCAGCACTAGCTCCTTTAAAGAGGCATAGGTTGGCCAACTGGATACAAAAACTCAGGCCAGATATCTGTTCTCTATAAGAGAACCTTACAAACTCTCTACAAACTCACCTTACCTCAAAGGATAAAACAAGACTCAGGGTGAAGGGATAGACAACGGTATCCCAGGCAAATGGAAAGCAGAAAAAAGCTGGGGTTGCACTTTTGTATGCAGATACAATTGGATTCAAACCAAAAAAACAATGAAAGACAAAGATGGACACTATTTACTGGTCAAGGGAAACACACTATATGAAGAGATTTCAATAGTTAACATCTATGCAGCCTATCCGAATGCACCTCAATATATAAAATGAACCCTAACTGATCTGAATAATATGACATCTTTCTGCATTACAATAGTTGGAGATTTTAACACCCCATTGGCAGTATGGACAGATCCTCCACAAGAAACTAAACAAGGAAATAATGCACTTAAACAAGAATAGACTTAACAGACATTTATAGAACATTTCATCGTAACAAAACTGAATATACATTCTTCTCATAAGCCCACAGATCATCTTCCAAAACTGATCATATCTTAGGTCATAACATTAACCTCAATAAATTCAAAAGGATATAAATTATTCCCTTTATCTTCTCAGACCATCATGGAATAAAAGCTGAATTCAACAGCAACAGAAATCCTTATACTCAAATAAAATCATGGAAACTAACCTTATGCTGAATGATAGCTGGGTCATAGATGAGATCAAGAAGAAGATCATTAGATCTCTGGAACAAAATGATAATAAAGCCACAAACTATCAAAACCTATAGAATACTGCAATGGCAGGCCTTAGAGGGAAATTTATAGCTTTAGATGCCTTCATCAAGAAAACAGAAAGACAGCATGTCAGCAACCTAATCGGCCATCTCAAGCAACTGGAAAAGGAAGAACAATCTAAACCCAAACCCAGTTGAAGAAAAGAAACAACCAGAATTAGAGCAGAAATAAATGAAACTGAAAACAAAAGAATTATTCAGAAAATCAGTGAAACAAAAAGTTGGTTCTTTGAAAAGATTAATAAAATTGATAAACCCTTGGCTAGACTAACCAGAAACAGAATATTAAGATCGCTAATAACTACAATCAGAAATGATAAAGAGGAAATAACAACAGATGCCACAGAAATACAAATGATTCTCAACAATTACTATTAAAAAAAACTCTATTCCCAGAAACATGAAAATGTAGAGTAGATGGACCAATATCTAGAAGCATAATACCTTCAAAACTCAGCCAGAAAGATTTAGAAACCTTGACTAGACCAATGTCAAGTACTGAAATAGCATCAATTATACAAAATCTCCCAAAAAAGAAAAGGCCTGGACCCAGTGGTTTCACACCAGAATTCTATCAAGCCTTCAAAGAGGAACTAATTCCTATAATGCATAAACTTTTCCAAAATACAAAGAAAGAAGGAATCCTCCCCAATACATTCTATGAAGCAAATATTGCCCTGATCCCCAAACCAGTAAAGGACCCCCTCAAAAAAAAAAAGAAAACTATAGACCAATGTTATTAATGAATATTAATGCAAAAATATACAAAAAGATGTTCGCAAATACAAACAATACAACAATACTTACAACACATTAAAAAGGTTATACAGTTTGAGAAAAGTGGG